GCAGTGGTTGAAATCTTCCCCTACGAAAAAGGAACAACTCTCAAATAAAGAAGAGCATTACTTCATTAACAGGCTATTAGCGCTGCTCTGTAGGCGACCCTGCCAGTCTGCAGTGATAGCAGAGGAGAGTAAAGTTCAGCAACCTCACTGCTGGGCTTTAATTACATTTAGGGCATCATATGCCTTCAAAGTGGGCCGGGGGGCAATTATTTGTTATTGCCCACCTTAAATTCTTCAGGGATATGAAGCTGAAGTCAGCTATTTGTCAGCTTCGAATTTTAGCTAGCTACCAAAACAGCAGCATACTGCTATTGATTTTTGCGCTGTTATAAGGTAAAGGACCATAACACACTGAAACGACATCAAACTAAGACAACACAATGGTTATCATAATGAAATAGAGCCAAAATGTATCGGTAGTGCTACATTTTAAGAATCAAAAACTGTGCATCCCTCATATGCTACACGCATTTAGCCTCTGAAATTGCAGGCTTAATTCAGCTACTTATGTTAAGACACATTGTTTAGTAACTATTATGAACTATTGTTGATTGGTTTTATTCACATATTCCTACTGAAATATGACTTTAAAATAAAACAGCCCACTATAATAACAATTTCTCTAAAATATCCTTTATACTAAAATATTTCTGTAATGCAAATTATATTCGCCCATACATTTGGTAACATCACCACACTGAAATACTTCCTGCACTGCAATACCTATAATTCAAAATGCTTCTACATTAGAGAACATCTTATTAATGATCCAAGCAGAGAAATGTATTCAGTATAATAAAAGGCAATCCTTTCAGAATGAGAGAGATGTAAGCCTTTTCTGTTTGTACAGTATCTCTGTGGGTGTTGAGTACAAACTAGAACAGTTTAGTTAGGACTGCTGTCACCCACTCTGTGACAAAATTATACATTAAATTAAACTACAGTTAACACAGAAAATACACTGGATTGTAAACTTGAGATTTGCAGCTCTAATCTTTAATACATTGTATACATCAACCATTTTAAAATAAAATTATGCATTAATAGCCTAGACCGAATACATGAATTCATTTGAAACTAATTAAAACTAGAAGTTACAAAAATGTTTTTTGTTTCTTATTTTTAATAACTTGTCCGCATTTCTGAGCAGCACATTTGTGTGTAAATGTAAGTTCATTTGCATAGTATTTGCATACCGAGCACTCCAACACATAAAAGCCACTTTTTATAACAGAAGAATGTGGGGTAATGATTTAAAAGGGACAAAAAGTGTCACAACCTTATTTGGGTGGTTTGTCTACAGAAGAAAAAAAGATATTTCAAAAGGCTTCATATTTTTCTAATATCACAATCTTATAAAACTTTTTTTTCCTTTTAATTCCATAAAAAACATCCAGGAAATATCTCAGTGTCATCTGGCCTCTTTCGGGAACACTAAGAACAAAATCCATAATCTGGTTTAGATCATCCGGAGTAATCTCCAATAAATACAGTTCCAATCAAAGCTTTAATCCCATATCTACACGCCACATCAAACTCCCATTTCATGGGTAAGAGGCAGAGGGCGGAAAAAAATCCCAGATTTTCCAAGCGTCTGATCAAGTTTAATCCCAAATGTTCCAGAAGAGAAATATGACCAGATCTGATCAGATTGATCAGGACCTGTCTGCAGACATAGAGATGGATCTAAACTCTCTTACCAGCAAAGAATAACATTAATTTACATGTCTTTGGGTAATTCTTAATACTGCACCACAGGGCCGCACAACAAAAAAAAAAACCTGACATAGTTATTGGCCTTCACTGTTTTTGACTGAAATGCTTATGTTTGTTGGATCATGTGAATGCCTTGATCAATACAAGATGCTCATAGCATACAGTAAAACATTTAATGACTGGTTAGTGGGCTCATTTGCATATTGCAACCTTTTGTGATATCAATATTCAAAGGCCAGTATCATGATAACGGTTAATAGATGATATATTGTGCAGCTTTAGTGCATCATTTCAAAAAACACAGTTCATCATTCCATTCTATAACTAGCAAATTCTCCTTCAGTACCAATAATACAGCTGCACCCAAACTGCAGTCTGCGGTTATTCAAGGTAAAGTGCGAGTTTCCGGTTACACTGCAAGCGTGGCAGATTTCTGCAGTGAAATGGGGTCGCTGTGAGGCTCTGGCTCATCCATTTCTAGAGCTTTCTCATGGAGCTCGCACCAAGCTCGGTGTCACATAATGGTGTTCCTCCCCCTCTGGGTTTTAAAGTATCTCACGCTCATCAATCTCACAGAACCTCTCTCACACCCGGTCAGCCCCCCTAATTAGAGAAAACCCCCTAAAAATAGGGCAGCGGAGAGTAAACTGGTTGCTAGGGACAAAACCAAGGTTGATCAAGAATTAAGATACCATCTTAAGCGTAGCTGGCCCGAGAAAGTGTCCATGGGAGTTGTTCTGCAGTAACTTAATTAAGTGATTAAATTGATGCCCCAAATGACCCTCTACAGTGAGCAGATCTATTAGGGAAGGACACTCAATTTGTCTTGGGACAAGCCTTCTCAAGATGAGCATGCAAATTCTTTGCTAATATGATGCTGCTAACATGCCGGGGTAAAGAAAGAAACTGAGAAGCTCAAAAAAACAAGACAGAACGAAGACTACATTAATCTCTATGGATATTGGAATCCAAACTCAGTCTTAGTATCTGTTTATTTAATCAGGTACTATAATATGACACGTCGTTTTAAAAAGTAAAAGTCTTAAATGCATTTTGGATGAATGTAGAATTTCAGACAATCTGAGGACACAAGCTGCTGATATTGGTTTACACATGAAGGAAAATGGACACATCTAAGAGGATGAAACTATGATTAATCTGCACAGTTGTGGGTTTTCATTCTCTAGGTGAGCTGGTAGTGTGTTAAATCACATACAGCTGAAACACAAAGATTAATTGAACAACCAGGTACAGATCATTTATAATCTTAATAATCAAATGTTAAACCTTCTTTTTTTAATTCATAACAATGTAAAACATTTTCTCGTTAGGATATTTGAATACTATTTGCTCAAAAATGTGGATAATAAATAGCAAAATTTGTGCATCGCTGTTGAGGTCAGCCAAAGATAGACAGTATAAACTAAGCTGAAAACGAATAAAAGGCAATCTGACAGTCAATGAGCAGCAACACTAAGTAACTGTACGTTCTCAACAAGTTGACTCTACAAGTATTGCATCAGCCTGAGTTCACCGCACGGCCCTGCCTCACCCCTCTTCCCTGTGAAATGTAAATAAGCAAAGCTCTCTAGGGCAGCCGGCTCTGCTCTGATGTCGACAGTGCAGCTCTCCCAGCGGGAGAGACCCTCCCTCTCTCTCTTCCGGGCAGCCAAGTGAAACCGATCAGGACACTTCATCACATTCTGGGTCACCGGCGCACTCTATACAGTCCAGATTACACCACTTCTCCCACTATGGACACAGTAGGGGAGGAACACTTGGCCCTCAGGGAAGCCTCAGGGGAATTTGGGGCAGTAGAGATACGTTCACCTGCCACCTACCGCGTTGGCTACAATGATATTTTTACATCAAGGGCTTCAGAGCATGTAGTGTGAACTTTCAGGGTGAGAGCAGGAGTGCATTCCAATGCAGGGATTGAAAGAATGCCAGAAAATGTCAGTAGTTTCATCCGGGACAGGAGGGAAATGGTGAGGGAAGTCTGAAAGTCTTGGGTAAGCAACTGAGGACATACAACAAATTTGCTTGAAATGTCAAGATACTGCATTTTCCTCATTCTGCTAAGCAGAACAGGTATACAATTTCAAGCACTTACAGTCAAGCTCAAATTCGTTTAACTTTTGCTAAATTACAAATTGCTCCTCTCCTGCAAAAAACAAACAAAAAAATCTACTCTTTCCACTCTTTCAAGTGGTGTCAAGCTTCAAGTTCAGCCAGCAGCGACTGCTCAAACTCCAATACAAAACTTCTTGCAGGTGGCGTTGCCACAGCAACCCTCTCCTGAGGCCCGTGTCTGGATAGAGGGGGTAATTCATCAGCAAGTGAATCCCGATAGGGGAAAATACGCAGATACCTGCAGCTTATCCCAATACACATGCCTGAGAGAGCCAGACCCAAGCATGCTGCCTATCAATTACACAGTCAAACCGAGCCAGCAGGGAATCCATCAGTAAATAAGCAAGGTTCTGCGAGGGTGCTGAATAAAGTCAAGTTCCCTGCTGTCTCTCTCAGGCACAGTGTGTTGGTGAGTTTAACTCTAAAGCACTGACCCAATGAAATAGCATGCAGTTGGATACTGGGTCATGTTCCTGGCTAGCATACTGCCAGGGTCAAGGGAGCCTGTGGTTACCCCTGAGGAGTAAACAGAATAGCTTAGCCTTAAAGGAAAAGCACAAATAAGCATGCTAACATGCCAATTATGCTAACGGTGTTTGGAAGGTAGAAATCACCAGTTAGCAGGACATCAGTGGTTATTCCCTTTCATTTATTGTTTGCAACATTATTAACTGAACCATTCCTGTAAAAATGCACACAAAATTGGCCAACCTGCCAGTCTACAAGAGTAGCTAAGTCATGGGTGAATTTGAGAAGTCTGTGATCTGTTTCAACACAAAGAAGTGTCCCTTTATGGCCACTGACCACACTGTTTACACTTTATCACAAGGTCAATGCTCTCCATAATGTGCGACAAGTGAAATGTTTCACTCGGCCCTGCTCTGTGCAAAGCAAAATAAAAACCAACCAATGAGAAAAAGGAAGGGTTGCTTTAAGAGGGTAAAGAATAGGGGTTTGAGAAATTGATCTCTTTTTTGGCAGCAAATCAAAAGCCCCTGTAAGTCATCCAAACCGCAGTCCAAGCTGACAATGCCCCTCTGACGAGGGAGCAGAATTTCATCAGCTAACGTTAGCATGAACATCCAGCACGAACACCAGCAAACAGTAAGCCGCCTTAAACCTGAGGCAGTGAAAAAAAACAATAGGCTTACCTTCCACGGAGTATTCTTCTGCTCCAAGAAGAGAGGAAACAGAGGGGGGTGGGGGGAGAGAGAAAGAAGGAGAAATTAATTAGTAACCGAAATTATTGAGTCACACAGCTAAAAATACAGCCAGTGATGTCTCAATTCGTCATTTATGAGTAAGTCATTTTCAAAGAAGTAAAGCTCTAAAGAGAAATTATACAATTATCCAATCTCCCTGACACAGGCTAATTGAAAATGTAAGACCTCTCATAAAACCAAAGCAAGCACATAAAAAAAAAATAAAAACCTTATAAATGTGAACATGCAATAAAGTCAGTAGTCTTATGTGACATTGATCTCTGATTGACGGTGCTGCATAGTTAACATTTCAGAATATGGCTTTAGGTAGCATTTGACAATGAGCAAGAAATACAAATATTTAAAAACAACAGACATCTGGGGAAAGAATTTAGTCCTGTACTAATAAACTTCACTGTTCTAAAACATAATCCACTCATGTCATCCCCCCCAGCGGGACCTGCTTAGTATGCAGAAGTTTCTTGGCTATTTAAGTATGATACATACTTTGATATCTTCTGAAATTATTAAGCGTAAAATAATGTAAACTGCCCAAGTCACTGCAACATAGAGTGTGAATTGTCCGAGTTACTGCAGCATCTAAAGTAAATTGTCTAAGTTAGTGCAAACGTGAAAGCCTCAGTTACTCTGCATGGATGGACAGATGAATGGAAAGATGAACAGACAGACTGATGGATAGGTAGACAAAAAAAAATGTTCCCATGCTCAGCAGATACTGATTCAGAAGTATTTTGTGCAGTAAAACTTTTACAGATAAATTCGGCAGGCAATAATAATAAACATCAAATTCAAATGCCATGTATGTAGAGTTTAATATACCACCATGTTTAAATATAGCACTTTGACATTTCAAGTTATCTGTGCTTCTTTAGACTTTAGACCACAGCTCTAAGCTAAGAATACTAATTATAAACAGCACACACAGGAGACTCTCTCTCTCTCTCTCTCTCTCTCGTTACATCAGTTCCAGTGGATCTTGCTTGTGGGATAATTTCTTGGAGGGCTCTTTAATGTCAGCTTTCTGAGGGCTTCTGCATTTCTCAGAGCTAATTTCACTTCATCTGAGCCTGAGGCTTTGGGGTACAGAGAATTCAACATTTTTCATGAGCATACGTGATAATGCAATATAAGTTGGTCTATCTTAATGTGATAAATTCTGTCACAGTGTGCCACAATATGCTTTTCTATCACACTGTAGATATCATCCAATTACATGTTTTATTGTTACAATAACAGAGAGAGCACAATTAGTCCTGTTTAATTGGATCTAGTGCAGGGCAGTATGTAAAACACAGATTAAAGTCATTTGTACTCAGTTTTTGATAGTATTTTTAAATGTGACACCACTGTTTTTGATGTCTGTTCCAACTTATGTCAGAAAATTAAATATGACAAACTGTGTTTTGTGAAAAATTTCTAAAAATATATTATGTTTTTACTATATAACCCAACCCAGCCAAAAACGCATATAACTGTGCATGTCAATCAAACTCTAGATTTCATTGTAACACAGACCAGAAAGACTAGTAAGAAGTATACATTTAAATCCACAATCATCTGAACTGTGTAATCGGGTTTAATCAAGTTATGACAGCCCCAGCTAAGACGTCTTAATTTGTGCAATACTTGTGCATTCTGAGTCAAAATAATAAATAATTGTGCTGAATAATTTCACTCGGTAGAACATCATTGGTAAAACAGCTGCAAACTGTTTCTACATTTTAACATAGCGAATGGCAACAAGCAGCCAAGTCTATAAAAAAGAAGCAAGAGAGTCTCATACTGCCAGGCTCCGGAGAAAGGCAAAAAATAATCATTTTTGCATTATTCATTTTCTTAAGTGGAGGCATCCTGCGGCTGTGGAACTGTTTACCTCTGCTTTTAGCAACTTGGATATTAAGATTTAATGGTGGATGAGGGAACAGTGACGTTTAAGTTAGAATCTTTTGGTTAGTATTTAAAGGGTTAACTTCCCTATTCCTTCTGTGGTAATCAACACAGAAATCGGATTATGTTTGATAAACTGTCCAACAATCTCAGTTTTCCTTTATACCTTTAGTTTCTAGGTTACTTATCAACAGCATCTATTTTATACTCACATTGCAAAGACACAGTTTAAACACACTTTCCAGTAACATAAAAGTGCAGAATGGTGTTTGGTGACATCCTCCAAAGGTGAAGCTAACCACTTACTGAGTTTTTGTACTAGTAATTCAAAGATGATTTTGAGTCTGAATGGATTTAATAATTAACAGTTAATATTCTATATGTAGAAGGACGTGGATATTCTGACCTGAAAAGCATTTAATCTGGGTTGTTTGGACTGAATGTTAGGCACTCTTTAGCTAAAGCCTCAAACCATCACTTTCCCTGACCTAGCATATTCTCAGGCTTGCAGTGCCACACAGAAAACAATGACATGAAACATCCACTTGTGTATTCTTGTGAATGAGTAAAATTGGACCTGCTGGTGAGAACCACTGCTGAAATAATACTGTGTTGGTTTTGACCATTTTACTCTTAAAATCGAAAATTGTACTAAACTGAATAGAAAGAAAGTAGCTTGATATTCTCCAGGACCCAATAATTTCTGACATCAGGTGAGTCTTTTGTTTAATCCTAGTCAAATGCAACTTGTAGAATCTCCCTGCACTTTGAATTTTAGTGTTTTCCTACTCTAACAGAAGCTTACAAACTCAGTGAAGTAAAAGCGATGGTTCAGTTGAAAATCATATTTCCAGTTGACCCTAAACATAGTCAATAAATAAAGATATGTTCTGTGTCTGAAGTTCACATTTTTAGGTTTGCACTGGAGCCACAAGATTAACACAGCTAATGAATAGTGGGAGGTTTGCTGAAAACCAAACTGAATTTTGTCTGTACCTTTGTCCATTTTCATAGATAAGTATAAACAACCAACATGTCATGGCTGAACGGCTAAATTTTGAGTAAAGGGAAAACAAAGCAAGTAATTTTTACGTCACCAGGACAGAGGTACACAAAAACTGGTAAAAGCAGATAAACAGTTAAATCATTGACTGTAGATCCAGAAAAAGAGATCAGAAAATGTGTAAGGACTGACAAGTTAGCTGAAGGTTGGCTGGCATGGCCGTCTGGCAGAAGGAATCAATGAAAACTGACATGAAAACGCAACGTACATGCCACAGCCTCTCAGTATTGACTTTTACATTAGTACACACATACCACAATAAAGATGTAGCTGGTAGTGACGGCTTAACTTACAGTCTGAAAGGTCCGAATGAAAGAACTGACACTACCTCATGAATCAAGCCAGGTTTTTTTTTTTTTTTGTAAATATACTGGTTCCCAGTCCCAGTCATTGAGACCCTGCATCTTGCACATTAATGTGTTTTCTAGGCTTTCCAGGCTTTAATACACCTGACTGAGTTCTTTGGGCAATCCTTAAGTCCTCTAAGATGTCAGTCGGGTACATTACAGCAGAAAAACATAAATGTGCAGTAAATGGGGTTAAAGCCTGAAATATATTACAGGACTCTGTCATTCACATCTGGTTCAGTCTGGTTCAGATGTAATTTCAAAAGTATTCATAGACTTGGGTCACTTTTTGCATCCAGGTTTCTTATTGCCTGCCTTTCTCCTTTAATGGATTTTGGCCAGCATTTATCCCTGTGTTAAGTTTTACTCCTTACTTTATTCTTCTTTCCAGTTTTTAATCTGGCGCACTGAAGTCAACCGTGTTGCAGGCTCCGAGGGCCATAAGGCCAGCATTAGAACACTGAGCGCTCTATGTGAAGTTTAACCAGACTAAAGTCTTTAGTAATTAGACTAATTCTCTATCTTTAGAAGATGCTCTCCAGAAACCTGCTATGGCTGGAGCACAAGCGTAAAAGAAAATGGAAAGCATTACAGCTACATTTTCATTTTTCCCCTGCCTACAATAATCATCAGAGCTGTAATTACGAGGAAACATAGAAAAAAAACCACTCCTGAATCTGAGCTCGACAGAAAGCATCAAGACAGAAAGTCACCCAGCCAGCTGCTGCTGCACCTATCAGATCCGGAGGAGGACTGTACAAAACTCCTATAAGCACTTTTCAAAAGCAGCACTAAGAAATAGTCAGAGTACAAAGTACGTAGAAGAACACAGAAGACTTCAGCAATAAAGCAGCTATTGATGCACTCTATCTCTGTTTGTCTCTTTCTGTCTTTCTCCGTCTCTCTTTCTCTTGCTCTCAACTCTATTCCCTATTTGAGATTAAAGGAGAGAAACAGACCCCAATCAAGCGACTACATCACTGCTGCCACTCAGGACAACACAACAAAGGAAGACTAATGCAGGTTCTGAAGCCAATAGAAGCTTGTAAGTGATGTAGACTAACCCCCTCACCCAACATTGTCCAACATTATTTCTGTCATTGCCCTCTGTATGAACCTGCTTATTTCTGAACAGAACATGATATGAATTCAGGCAATTACACATTTTACTACATTATATTGAATGTGCGAACTAACACACACTTATATGCAGATAGATAGATAGATAGATAGATAGATAGACAAACATATAGATAGACAGACAGATAGATAGATAGAATTCAAACCATTTGATCTTGAAGGGTATAATTCCCTAATTTATGACATTCTGAGAATAAGACACCACTTGTCTACTAATTTAACAATTAAAGTGACAATAGGGAAAACTTTTACCCTTAGAGACATACATGGCGTACGTGCAGTCTTAAGAGACCATTCAGCCGAGACTGTTAATATAATTAAACAGAGGAAAGAGAAAATCTGAGCTGTTATGATTTTATGAGCGCTGTTTGAACATTTGAATGAGTCAGTGGTTCTCCAGGGCCTTGCAGAATGGTAAACATTGACTATTCCCTTTTATGAAAAGGCAAGCAGAGCCGTTTCTGCAGAATGGCATGGGAATAGTCGTGGAAGTGCTATTCCACAGATTC